GACGGTTTTTATAAAAATCGTCATCTTTACATATAATAGAAAACGTTTTTTTTATATATATAAAAAGCGTCATCTTTACATATAGTATGACGTATGATAACAAAATCAAAGAAATAAATTGATAAAAAAAATTCGTATTAAGACGACGGTTTAAATATAAGGTATGACGTATAAAGGGAATAAATACGACGTTAAATTTTATAATACGTCGTTAAATGAAAAACAAACGTGGTGAGATTTAAAGATACCATCATAGAACTATACAAGAAAGACGTCAATATATTTTTATTTTCCGTCGTTGTACATTAATTTAATACGGCGATATTTTGTATTTTACCGTCGTGAATTTATTTGTAATTATATGACGCCTTATACGAAAACTTGGTCGTGTTATTTTCTGCGTAAAAACGGCGGCTTTTTTTGAAATCGCCGTCTTTACTTTCTACGTCGGTCAATTCATAACTTCTGTCGTTCTTTATTTGCTTTGATTTTACACTGCGGAAATCCTGTTTCAAATAGACGTCGGTTTTTTAATTAGGTACGTCGTTGTTTATGAACAACCATTTGAATCTCCATTTTTTAGGTGTCTAAGGTGTTATTACACGGCGGTTTTATAGAACCGTCGTCTTTTAAAAAATGATGACGATTTTCACTTAGACCGTCGTTTTTTTCTGGTCGTCTTTGTCACTTTTTGTAGTAGTGTTTGGTGTCTCAACTGAGTAAAGAGCCAGTATAGAAAGGAAAGGTGATTAGTTCAGTTCCCCTTTCGCCTGACGGTTCTCAGGCTCAGCAGCAGCAGCATCAGCTTCTTTTGCCTCGTACTCCTCACCTGTATTCCTTACTTGGCGATGATCTTAAGTCCAACTTGTCCTTTTTGAAGAGAATGGACTTCGGCATTGCAATGGATTTGGAAGAGATATTTGATTTGATTCTCCAAGTGGCTCTCAAGGAAGATTTGAAGACACATCAGATGATTAAGAAGCTATTTATGTTCACCTACTGCATACCCTCAAGATCATATGATAGCTGCGCTTGGGAGACTAAGTATGAGGCCATACAGAGAATGTTTAAGGATAATGGGTATAGGGATGAGGCCATGCCACATATTCTGTTTTGGGATATTTCCAACTGGAATTCGCCATTGATTGATTTGCCTTTGATTGATTCGCCTCGTCCAAGGGTGACTCTGTTGGGTAGCTGGTTCAACAATTTGGTCAAGTCCTTCTTGGACAATGGCAGGGATTTTCGCCCGCACCATCTCATGGAAGCAGCCATCGCTGACAAAGAGTATCAAACTCTTGTTGTGGTCGACTGACTCACTCTCTCCCATGATTTGATCATCCATCATCTCTTGCTTATTATAGTTTGCAGGTAGAATTTTAATTAATAAGTAACCAAGTTTCTGTGCACTACTGAGATGGGATATTATCTGTCTCTCTTTTTTTTTAATAAGGGAAAAGAAATAAACTACAACCGGAAACCACGTGGGCACGCAGGCCCCACCAAGTCAAAATAAAGTTGCCTATCTCTCTATCTGTCTTAGGTAGATATATATTTTCTTGAGCTTTCTCTCTCATAATTAAGCAGCATTTGACATTGAAATAATCATATTTTTTGAATGCCCTTAATTTTATTGTTTGCTAGGTCTTAGCTAGGTAGGTAGCAACATTCTCAGTTTTCTGCTCTGCTCTGAAAGTGAAAACTACTGTATATGTGGATTATGTTAGAGTTTGTATAGGAAAAATACACTTTTATTTAGTCCAACATTGGAAGGGAATTGTTTCCTTCGATGGTTTATAAACACCAACACTTTAGAAACCCTAAATAGAGTTTGGGCCTAGTGGAGGCAAAGTTTGGCCTTATCATGGTTTGAGCTTGAAATATATATATATATATATTTGGGTAATAAATATCACCAGAAAAATCATATCATTGTTGGCCAAGTCAGTATTCTGTAATTAATTCTATGATTGATTACATATCGTTTACTGAAATTAAGTATGATATTATATATTTCTCAGTACTCTTGTTAGTGTGAAGCAGTACGACTTTAGGTGGATTAGCCATTAGCCTGATTTCATTTACTATAGTTGTTAGCAGTGTATAGTAGTAGTAGTAGAAGGTCAATGCGACGTGACACGTCAGCATGGTTTCAGTTACAACTTATATGATTGTCTTTTCCCCCCTCGATTTGTTTCATGCTTGTGTTTCTCATGCCGTCAACCATGCCAAAGTCTTAATGCAGTCCAGGTAATTGCATAGCAGCAGCATAGAAAATTTACAGATCCTACTTTCCAAAGAAAATTACCAAACATCTTCTCAGTTCCAACTCCAAGTAACAGTGCGTGTAAATGAAGCCTTTATTGGCTAGTGATTTTTGTGTGGTTGCCTGGAAACTCCTTTGAATATTTGAGAACTGAGAAAGAAACTGCAGCTCATGTCTTTGTAGATTAACATAATTATAATCAATGTTATTTCTGCATTTTCTTCTGATATGAACTTAATCAAGAGTGGGTGAAAATAACGGACACTGTTTGTCTTCCCTGGAAGAAAATATTCTTCATCTGTGCAAAACACTATTTTTTTTTTTTTTTTTGCACACATATTCTTCAATCCACTATGTCACTGGCCTTCTCTAGTTTATATAATAGAACAAACAAGGGACACAATGAACACAAAACCCAAATGTAATTCAGCATTTATTTTAGAGTCAACAATCTAGCTAACAGAGTGAAACGAGTCAAAGTAAATGCTTAGGGAGATTATTTTCTTTTGATCAGAGTTGGTCTCTGGGTAGGTAGGACCGGGGACAATGTAGAGACCCAGAGGAGAACACTAAACTCTTTCACGATGCCCGGCAGCCAACCTCCCATCTTCCTGTTTCAAAATTTATTATCATTTTCCTGGCAGCTATTCCACGCCTAGCTTCTTTCTGCAAAACCCAATTATATTACAAGAAATTAGACTCAAAGGTCAATAAAAACACTAATAGACATGACAAAAATTTAAGTCTCTTGATTCATTGGTCATTAAATAAACAAAAAGATTTCATGTAAACACCCTTCTTTCACCTTTGCCATTCTCCTCTGTTTCACCACAGAACAATTATCATCCCAGGCTTTTTTTTTGGTCAGAATAAAACTTCATTAAAAAGCCAGAGAAGGCTTTAGCAGCACCAAACAGGAAGTTGCAAGAAAAGGCATACAGGGACAGGGGAGAACCCCAGAGCAATACAAACAAATCACAGGGAGGCCAAAGATACCTCCCAGGAGATAGAAAACTGGAAATACAAGTAGTAAACTTACCTTATAACTAAAACTAATTACTAGGGGGGCACAGCAAACCGTCCTTAGCCAATACCCGAACCAAAGAAGGAGGAGGCTGTGAGGCCCAACGCAAAGATCGCACCCTCATGTTTGACAGAGCTGCAGCAGCATGCGCAGCTTGATTTGCTTGGCGAGAAACCCATTCCCATTTGACCGAGGTGAACCATGAAGAGAGTCTCCTGATCTCCAAGATAAGTGGGATGATTCTCCAGTTGCCGCGCAGATTTTCATTCCTCATACAAGAGACAACATCCATAGAATCACTTTCAAGAATGATTTCCTGACAGTTTTCCTCTTTTGCCAGAATTAGCCCTTCCAAAACAGCTTCCGCTTCCACTTCTACAGCAGAGTTCCGGAGAGTAGCCTTACTCATACCAGCCAACAATCTGCCCCCAGAATCACGCAAGCAGCAACCCACACCACCCTGCAGAGAGTCCTTTTTCCAAGCTCCATCCACATTAACCTTAATACAAGGATGTGGGGGAACCCTCCAAAGAGCGAGGGGAAGGGAGAGAAAAAGAGGGAGTAGAACTAGTAGTAATACCCGGGGAAGGACACGGTTCTCCCCATAAGGAAATAACTTTTCTAATAACAGAGTATGGGCTTGGGGAACGACCTTCAAAATAGCAGAACATCTTTCTTTCCAAATCTCCCAACACGTGATGCCCACCAAAACAAGAATCTCCTTATTCCTTTCTTCAAAAAGAGCCAAAGAAGTAGTAACTCCCAATAGCCATCTGTCAAGGGAAGTCACGCTTTGAACATTCACACAGTAGTTTAAGGGGATGCCAAACCAAACACAGGCAGTCCAAGGACACAAAAGAATAGCATGTTCGGGTGACTCATCACAAGAATTGCATAAAGTGCAGACTGGAGTAGTCCTAGCTCTGTGTTGAAACAGGTTTTTCAGAGTGGGCAAGGAATTTGTCAAAGCCCTCCAAAAGAAAAGTTCGATCTTTGGTAAAACTTTCATACTCCATATTGACTTCCATAACTTTTTATCTACTTGGTGGGAGTGATGTTCCGGCACACTACCCACAGCCACCAAATTTTCCATAGCCCAATGGTAACCACTATGAACAGAAAAGATTCCATCTTTATTCCAAGGCCAAATCAGAGTATCCTCACGAGTAAGATTACAGAGAGGAATAGCACGGATTAAATTTGCAACAGCAGGCTCAATAACATTTGAGATGCTCTCCAGATTCCATTCTCTCAAATCCCGATCAATGAGATCATTAACAAAAGTTGGAATAGGGACGCAGGATGGAGCCATGTCATTGCAACATTCAGTCTTGACATGGAAAAAGTCACTGTTCCCCAAATGAACCAAATACTCACTCCAACACATATCAAATGCGAACAGTTGATTCGCAACCTCCAGGCCTTGCAATATAAACAGTTGGTTTAGGTTATATACAACACCACCGTTATCATCTTTGTCCAGCCCCAAGGAGAATGCTATAACTTCCCCCTGACGTAAGGAATATATAGTTTTGCCTACAACCACAGCCCTTCCTTGGAAAGGAGCATTATACACCGAATCATCAACTTCCACTGGCTTCCATTGATTTCTACCCACATGAAATGCAACGACATCGAAATTCTTTTCTCTTATGCTACACAATGAAAACAAAATAACGCCATAACAAACGGCATAACCAGTTATATTCATGTGGATTTCATAATCATTATAAAATGGATACGGCGGCATTTTCTCCCACAAGTTCGTATCATGATCAAATCTCTCAAAGGAGGGCTCCGCAATTGGTGGGATGGAAAATGGACTTGCAAGACAATACAGCTTGTCATATGCAGACACAAAAATAGGAATTGATTTATAGCCTAGGGTAGGAGGAAAAGATGAAGATCATAGTCTTTGTGTCAACAATATATCCACCGTCCTTTGTAGGGACGTATAAATTGGAGAGGTGGAAAATCCGTACAGCCCCCTGCGTGGCAACATTCTCATTCTTCTCACCCTCACAGAACCTGTTAACTAATTCAACAACCAGGGGTTCACGAGCGACTCCTCCGTGTTTGAACTTCACTTCATAGATTGCATTAGTTAATTCTTCGCTCCCAAAACACACAAATAAATATACAGATCTAATAGCTACCCCCGGATCTACTGTCATGCATGATTTCTGGGCAAGCTAGACAGAGAAGAGAGATGTATACAAGAAGTCAAGTTAAGCTTTTCAAACACCTACCTACCTACTCAGAGATAATTAATAAATACAAACAGTAAAAATGCCTTGCCCATTTTTCCAACAAACTGCGAATGGAATGGAATAGAACTAGATCATCATCATTAAATATTAAATAGTAGAGAGACTCCAATATAAGCCCATACAACTGATATCCCTTAGACACAAACCCATCTATCTATATAACTACGTTGAAAACCCAAATTCAAATTTAAATGACCAGTAGGATATAAGAGGTCGTAGTATTTCTATGTTTTTACATCGTTGCCACTAAACTTCATATTTTATTTATAATTTATTTCAAGCATTTCATTAACTGCCATAATTGTAATTAATATACTCCCTATTAATAGCATATCAATCACCC